AGAGAAATGATATAGAATGTGGTAGGGGGAAGGTTTTTTTTTTTTTTTTTAATTAGAGATATATTAGGATTACATGAATGCGAGGTTTTGAAAAAAAAAATAATTTTTGATTGTACTAAATTACATTTTTACCTTATATTTCTTATTCATGTTTTGTTTTAATTAGAGGGTTAAATTGATAATTTTATATGATTTTGGTTGATAATAAATATTTTATTAATTAGTAGAGATAAAATAAACATTTACATTATAAAACAAAGTGGGAGTTTTAGTACAAATAAAATCAATATTTTGTACAAACACATCCCTTGACCTAAATAAATACATGACATCTAATGTACCCAAATGGTTCGAAACCTATCAATCAACTCAAAGCAACTCTACCTCTAAAAACTCCCTAGTCAAGAGTCAATTCAATCCACTCAAATAAATAGTAATTAACTGTAATAAATAGTAATTGCCTAAGTGCATTTTCACTTATAAACTGAATAGTATAGTCAATTCGTATTAAAATATTATTAATTTTTTTATAAAAATAATAAAAAAATAATTTTTTTTAATTTCGAAAATGATTTTTAATTAATCTTGTCACGCCACGTGTCATTATCCGAAATTACAATTTTTGTGGAAGATGGTTAGGTATTTATATATAAAAAAAAAAGTCTTATTTTTTCTATATTTTAAAACAATTTTTATTAAGTTAATTAATATGGATTGCCATCACAAAAGTGGACACGTGGCCAACGGTAACTTCATCTAACATTTTCTTTTCTTTTCTTTTTTTTATTATACAACGTGTGCCCCAAGCGCCAGTCGCAACAAAATTTAATTAACATGGCTGACGTCAACCTAGCGTCATGTAAGTCGATTTTTGGGTCAGTTCATTTTGTGCTGGGTTAGAAGCTGGCCTCCACTTTGGGCCAGCTAATTGGATGGAGTGGAGTGGGTTTTTGGGGGGCTAGGGGTAAAAATGAGTTGTTGCCCAGCTCATTTATGGAGGGGTGGAGTTGCTCTCAACATTAGGGTCGAGCCAACACAAGATATGACATTAATTATACACAGGCTTACTTTTAGCAATATCTCATGTACTCTTCAATAAGTCTTACTCTATTTTACTTTATTGTGTCTCATTCTACCCTATGAACTCGTTATAAGTGTCAGTTTGCTCTATTTCGTTAATTTCGTCAACAAAATTGTTAAGTACTTGTCGTGACATGGGTTTTTGGCTGGAGTAAGTTCATTCGACTCGCTCGAAGTGAGTTGTTCGACTAGAACTAAGCTCACTCAACTCAACTTGAACGAGGGATGACAGAACTAGGTCGAAACAATATCTTTGTTATATTAGACCAAAGCACGACATTAATAAGCAGCATGCATAGATTATGTCTATAATTTTTCAACAAGAAGGAGAAGGACCAAGTCAAATTATATCAAGCTTGTCAAACATATCAAGTTTGTTAGCCATGTTTGGATAGAATTTACTTGGATTTGAGTTAAACAATTAAAAGACGAAGTTTTTTTTCACAAGATTTAATAGTGGCCACAGGCAAGCCAAGTTAGAAATCTCTTTTTCTCAGGAAAGAATTTGAAAGGTGTATAATCAACAAGCGTACTTGTCAACCGATTTCTAAAAACATGGTTGATGTCCGCGTACTATACGAAAATTTACTAAATTTAACATCTGGTGTGCCCTTTAAAACAAAAAATACATCGCTAAACCATTTGCATTCCCCAACTCAAGGGAATTCCAAGATCTCTAGGAAGAAAAAAGTTTCGTTTGGCCAGTGGGAAAAAGAACGAAATCTTTTGCCTGGCCAAATACAAAACACACAAAGAGAGAGAAAGAGAGGAACCCTCCTCCCTCTTCTCTCTTTTTGGATCCAAATCTTCAGAAAAGAAGAGAAGGAGAAACAAAAGAAATCAAGCAAAGATGTGTTGCCCCGGGTGCATTGCTAGGGTTTGCTCGTGCATTTGTTGCACTATACTACTGACGGTAATAGTTTGCCTGCTGTTGGGGCTTGGTCCCATCCAGAGGTTCAGGATTATTCACATAAATCACCTTCAGGAATCATGTGAGCCAAGCTTATATGGATCACTGTGCAAGCCTGGAAGACCCTTCCTTGGCAACATGGCACCTTCACACAGCTTGTTGGATAAGATAGCACCTTCACCGTACTAGGGTTCTTGTTGTTACACTAAATATACAATGTAATATGTGTATCTTTCTCTCTTCTTTTTATTTTTTGATTTTTTTTTTCCGGGTTTGCTAGGTTCATATTTTATTACGGTTATTTCTGGGTTTCAATGTTACATATGTGTTATACCGATGAATTTGAGTTGGTCTTGAAACTTAAATAAAACTATTTTTACCGGGTTTTTGTACTTGATTTGGTGTTCCCCCGTTTGATACTATTATGTACATTGTTTATTACGATATTAATTGTGCACTGCTTAATTCATTTTTGTGCTAATTTTTGTTTCATATGATACATACATGTATATACTTCCACATATTGGCAAGATTAGTTAGTATTCGATTGATTTTGATGATAAATGGTAGCGTTTTTCCTTGCTGTTCAGAGAACACTTCTTGTCGACTGCAAAAACTTCTCATATAACACATCCTGAACCGGAATGCCCACTGGACACCCAAATTAAGCAGTTCATATAATTAAACCATTTCTCATACAATTACAATTAAATGAAGAAACTACGGTATATGATGCAACTTAATTGGCACTCAAATCCAAACCCATGGCATCATAGAGTTTTCATTCTCTCTTGATTAATATAGACAACAGAAAAGTCAAGAAAAACATCCGATAAAGTTGGAACAACGAAGGACATTCGAACGTTCCCCTCGCATTGTCCAAAACACAAACACCCAATTCCACAAAATTCCAAGATCTCAGATAGAAAATTAAAGAACCTTTTGGATCTGAATAAAAGACAAATAGGGAGAAGTGGGAAACTAAGAGAATCAAATAAAGTAGTAATTCGAGATGTGCTGCAGGTTGTGCCTCTGTTGCATTTGCACGTTGGTGATATTGATATTCATGGCGGTGTTCTTTGGTGTCGGTCCGTTGAAGAATCTGAAGCATCAATTCATCATCAAGTAATCTGTGGATCATGCCAGTGATCCAAATAATATTCGTGGAACATCTTCATGCAGGCATTGGATGACCAGAAAACCCTTCTTGGGTTACACGGCACCTCCACCTTAATTTCCAGCTAGCTAGCTAGGGCTTTGTTTCTTTATTCTCCTCCTTGTTATTATTTGAATTTTAGTTTCTTAATTAGGTTATATTTTCATTGTTTGTAATTGTAATCAAGGTTTCTGGTTTATATAGATTTTCCTGTGTTTCATCTTATGAAGTTTTATTGACTAAAAAAGAAGCGGCCATCAGGATTTGGACGTTGATCTTCGAATTTATGTTGCTTTGTTTTTTGTTTTATTGGAGTAAAATAAAGCAGTAAGGCTAGGGTTCATAAGGATCGAATAATTATTTGTAAAAGAGGAGAACATGATTCAATTAGGACATGCGTTCGACTGGAGTTAGAAGCCTCCACGACACTTGAACTAAGAATTCAAGCCTTTCTTCTTTTTACTATAACCCATTCGTAGCTTAGTTTAATCAGAGCTGCTCTCTAAGGCCTTCATTTTGAAAACCTGTGAGGTCCTTTTTTACATGAGTTCTAAGATCATTTTACGGTAGATTAAGCTATTAATTTAAATAATTCTTATTATACGAAAGTAAAATACTAATTGACAAAACAAACAAAAAATAAAAAGAGAGAAGAATCTTTCACGTCATATCGAATCTCTTCCATCGATATCTAACTAGCAAATCCAATTGCATAAAATCCGAATAATTTTACACATCAAATTTCATCCAATATTTTAACAATAATATTCAAACCCAATTAATTAGAAAACATCAAAAAAATTGAGATTGTGTGGTTTTGAAAATTGAAATCCCTTCTTCTTGAACACGTGAACCCTTTTCATATGAAAATTTCCGACCTCGGTCAAAAATTATGAAACATGAACCTTTCCCTTTTCCATACGCGAAAAAGAAAAAAGAAAAAACTCTAAGAGGCAGAAGGTGAGTGAACGACCGAGAAAGAGACAAAGGGAGAAAGGGGATGTGAAGGAGAGAGACAATTAGGTTAATGAACCTGATGAATCATATTTAATTAGGTTTGTAATTTGATAAACCTACCCTGGTGGTTTGTAAATTTATAATGTCGATAAACCTAATGATGCTAGAAGTAACCAACATTCATACGTACATGTGATTCGTTCGATCATACGAATTGTTCCCATCCCATGTTATCATCCTACTTAGGTCTAGTATGGTTTAAACTATTTCTTATTAATTACTTGCTACAAAATGTTCAAAAGCACCATAACAAAGAAAACAATATACAATTTTTTTATCTAACGGTTGTATTTATACTAAATAAGTGAGGGAATGAGATAAGCCTCACAATAAACTAGTAATAATGTAGTTTAAATCTATCTCTAGTGAAAATCGAACCTAATATTTCTTATTTAAGTGAAGAACAATATCGTAATATTAAGTGATAATGTAATATAATATTAAAATGCATAACGGTGCAAAATGTTTAAATGAGCCTAAAATCAAATGTGCATATCAAATAACAGTACAAAAGCGCCCAAAAAGGTATAAAGGGTACTTGGAGAAGTTGTAAACACACACTCTTAAAAACTAGGTGGAGTCATCATTATAAAGTAGAAAAGTTGCTTAGTTAGATCAGAAGTCAATAAACATAAAATAATAAGTAAAATCACACAATTATGCCTAAGAGAAGACATAAATGCCATTGTTAATCTTTCGACTCTTAAAAGAGTGGATACTCTGTTGAAGTTACCAGTTGATTTCGTAAAAAAAAAAAACCTACGTCAATTTATTTTCTTAAACAAATACAAGGAAAAGAATATAACTTTCTTTTAGAGGAAGGAAACTAGACGAGTGCAACTAATTCGTATCACAGTGGATCCTTCTCTCCGTCTTCTTCAAGTGGGACTGGAAGTCCAAATTAATCAAACAAATCCTCTATTATATCCAAAAACCCGAAGCTCCGATTCGTTACAATCCACAATACAATCTCACAAAATCCTCACCAATCGACTGCGGAGATCCAATCGCAGCGACGGATTGAAGAAGATGAAGATCACAGTGATGACTGCAGACGAACAGATCCTCTCATTGGACGTCGATCCTCACGAGACTGTAAGACCCTAATTTTTCACTTCAGCAGAAACCCCCAATTGATTTGATAGTTCTTTCAATTAATTTGGAAGTTCAAGTTCATTTTTTAATTTGATTTGATATTTTTTGGTGATAGGTTGAGAATGTGAAAGCTCTGCTGGAGGTGGAGGTGAGAAATTTAATTTAATTTAATTATTGATGATTTAGTGTTATTTTTACTTTATTTTTGTGGGATTATGCTGTTTTTAGGGAAAACAATGTCATATTGAAGTAAAGTTTAGATCTTTCTGTAATGGGATTTACAGTTCATCACTGGAATACGATTGCAGAATTAAAAGTTCGTAACTTTTTTTTGGTTTGGAAGCTAATTTTAAATTCAGTTAGCAGATTAGTTAATATAGTAATGTATAACGAATGCTTGATATGTTTTTTGATGCGTATGAGCAGACGCGGGTGCTGCTTCATCAGCAGCAGCTGCTATATAATGGGAGGGAGATGAGGAATTCTGAGAAGCTAAGTGCTCTTGGTGTCAGAGATGAAGACTTGATAATGATGGTATCCACTGCCGCTTCGAGGTATACTTGAAAATGTTGTACTTTATGCGCAATTCACTGTATGATGTTCGTGTGTTTAATGGGCCTGTGAGTATATTTCAGTGCACCCACCAATGCTTTGAGCTTCAATCCGGATGGGTCTGCGGTAAATCCAGGTGCTTTCCAGCAGCACATTAGGAATGATTCTAATTTGATAGCACAGTTGTTTCAGGTAGCATGGTGTTCTTTTACTTCTTATTCGGGTTTTGGTTGGCGTTTGCCGATACTTGCTACATAGTGGTTGAAAAGAAACAGCAATAAGTTGAATGAAATCTTCCTTTCTAAATTTTGCACTGCTATTCTGAGGTATAAACTGTTTGTTGCAGTCTTTCAAAATGTAATTCACTGTCCTTAGTTTGTGATTTTCTACTTCCCATGAGCTTCTCATAGTCTTTTCTTTTGTTTGTAACTTACAGAGTGACCCAGACTTGGCACAAGTTATTCTTGGAAATGATCTCAATAGACTGCAGGAACTTTTACGAGAGCGTCATCGCCAAAAATCTGAACTAAAACGGAAACAAGATGAGGAGCTTGTAAGTTACATTTTCTTCTGTATCCGTAGTCATTGTAGGATAGTTGCTACTTAATATGGCCTTCACTGTAATCTGTCTCCATACTCTCCGATTAATAAAACACATATAGCCATATGGTAGTTTATGAAGTTTCAGAGAAATACAGTGACGTTAACTAACTGTAAAAGATATTGCAATGTCTGTTTCTGTAAGTATACCTGTTTATCCTGTCCTACCTCTTGAATATTGATTTTGGCATGATTTTAATCCCTGTAACTAATGGAGTTTTTGTTTACCTGAATCTTGTGAGCAGGCTCTTCTTTATGCAGATCCTTTTGATGTTGAAGCCCAGAAGAAGATTGAAGCTGCTATTCGCCAGGTTAGTGGTATTGTGATTATTGTCTTTGTCAAAGGAGTGTGGTTCACAAGCGATAATCCAACTCCATAGTTTCTTTAATAACCTGGAGTTGTAGTTGTTCTTTCCTAAAACATTTGCAGTGGTAACGGTATCCTTAAAATCAAATCTTAATTGCTCACATTATATATTTTGTTTAATATTGCTAATTCCTTTGCAGAAAGGAATTGATGAAAATTGGGCTGCTGCTTTGGAGCATAACCCTGAAGCTTTCGCAAGAGTGGTATGTATGATTATCAGGTGTTGCTACCAGTGTTATCATTTTAAGTTGGTATTTTGTTTGATGTTCATTGTTTTTCCAGGTTATGTTGTATGTTGACATGGAAGTGAATGGTATCCCGTTGAAGGTAATTATTCCCAAATAGCTTAGGACTGTTACTTTTCTTTCTCTTCAGTTCAATGTGACATGAGACTGCTGGAATATTTTTGTGTCATCTGTGTTGCCTTCAACTGCCCTTTATGTTTCCTGTACAACTCAATAAACGCTATCCATCACGAGTAGTATTATCAGTTGTCTTTCTTTATTGATTGTCTGTACTTTAAGTAACTGCAAAAGTTACATACTTTGTTTATTTCCACTTGTATCCAGGCATTTGTTGATAGTGGAGCGCAGTCAACTATTATATCTAAAAGTTGTGCCGAGCGTTGTGGGTATGAGATATTTTTAACTATTAGATAGTAATTTTCTCTTTACTGGTTGTGAAAGTATATTTACACAAGCGACTCATTTAATATGTGTTTCATGGTGGACATTCAGTGGCCCATACATGATAAATATGCATGCATGATTTTGAGATGAATGCGGATGTAGATGTGGATCATGTAGAACAGTAGGAACTGCAGGGGGTCCGATAACAGTCGCAGTCCGTTGTTTTCACTAGCTACTTTATATCATACCACTTTAGCCTCTTAGTATAAGATTTTGCGACCAAAACTCAGCTAAGTTCATGTGAAAAAGGAGACTTTTGAATGCTTTATTGCTGTTTTCTTTATTTGAATTTCAGCTGACTTTTTTTCCTTCGTATTTTTATGAATACTGATGTTGATTTGGATGCATGAGAGACCTTAGGAGGTGGTTCAATGACAAATCTATTTTTCTTTTCACCAACTACTTTATATCAAACAACTTTAGCCACATAAATTTTGCTTTGGCGACCGACCCTGCTTATAAGTTTTGTGAAAGGAAGGCAATTTTTGAATGCTTTACTGCAGGTTTTTTAATTACAAATTCTGTTTATTTTTTCTTCCATATTTTTATGAATAACGTGTGAGTTACAGGAGCAAAAGCCTAACGTTGTGTTGTTTTGGGCATTGAACTCTCTAGATTGTTGAGGCTTTTAGATCAACGTTATAAGGGCATTGCTCATGGAGTTGGTCAATCAGAGATATTGGGTCGAATACATGTAGCTCCTATCAAGGTAGCTGCCTGTGATAAGCAATCCATATCATACTATACTGTCTGAAATTCTTACTTGAGTGACAGGCTTTTTAACATTGTTTCTATAGATTGGAAGTATATTTTACCCTTGTTCATTCATGGTTCTCGATGCTCCAAATATGGAGTTTCTCTTTGGGTTGGATATGCTCCGTAAGCATCAGGTAGAATCCATGCTCCAAATTTCGTGCAAGCTGTCTTTCTCAATGGTTTTAATTAATGGAGGAGCTCCATTTGTTAGTCTTCTAACATTAAAGATGTCATCAGTGCATTATAGATTTGAATGAAAATGTTTTGAGAGTTGGCGGTGGAGAAGTTTCTGTACCATTTTTGCAAGGTTGGTCCCATGATCTCTATGTATGGATGTTTAAATATTCTGGAATATTTATGGTCCCTTGTTAAAGAAAAATCTAAATCTATGTATTTGTTTTAGAAAAAGACATCCCATCTCGTTTTCTCGATGAAGAAAGGTTTGCCAAGGAAGCATCCAGCTCAGGAGCTCCTGTAAGTCTACTCGAGTTTATGCTTTTCCTTAAGTCAAGGAATCTTTTTGCAGTTTCCGATTCTTAAATGTATTGTCTAATAAGAAAAAACTTAGGATAAAAATTCTGGTGTTGTCCTTACAAACAATTGGATCATCTTGTATGAGGCTTTGTATTTGCTCCATTTTTTGTAGGTTTTTTTCATATCTTCCCATCCCCTCCTAATTTTATTGTTTAAGTGTAGAATCTATTTATATTACACGGTTTTTTGGATCATAGCATTCATTAGGATAATGTTGTCTTAGAAAAGTTTCAAATATAGTAAGGTAGCTGACCTTGGACTTATATTTCTTTCATTATTGCTCATTTTGCTTGAATATGGTGTTCTTCAGGTTACATCGGGAACAGCAGATACGAGCAAAACTGTACTATCAGGAGGGCAATCTTCTGGTTAGTTTGGAACTTGCTCATAGTCATTAATGGATGCTTTGGTTATGATTTGTGTTGGGAGGTGCAATTTAGTTTGTTTGCTCTTGTTTGGTTGAATCTGTTAAATGCAAATTATAGAGTTTAATGGGACGTCTTGATAATGATATGTGTCAGGGTGTGAAATTTAGTTTGTTTACTCTTCTTGGTTGAATTCGTTATTTGCAAGTTGTGAGAGCAGTGCATGTATGAATCCTTCCCGCATATAACTGATGGTCGTTTCCTTCCTTTTAAACTTGACACAGGGAGTGCTCGTTCTAACCCGACTCAGGTAAATTTTTTTAGCAAATACACTATTTTCTAATTTCTATTGAGAAATTAAATTACGCTGTAGTGTTTACATTTGCTTAATCTCAGTTCTAAGATATCAACTAGGGTTTTCACTCTTTCGGGGTTCGCCATACATGGAAGTTGGATCATCGAATGAAATTTTCATATGTGACAATGTTGGTTGCAGGGATCTGATTTTGAAGCTAAAGTTGCAAAGCTTGTTGAGCTAGGATTTGGGAGAGATGCGGTAATACAAGCTCTTAAATTTTTTGATGGTAACGAAGAACAAGCAGCCGGATATCTTTTCGGGGGCTGAGTAAACTTAATACCTTATAAATTCATTTCATTGTTGGAATACGCTTAGTTTGAGAACTCAATTACAAAGGTTCAAGTTCGAATATTATGTATTTGCTACCATTTGATCTAATCTTTTTGACTGAGACCCTCGAACGAGGGCTGCAATTTATACGAAAACTGTTTGCTGTTCCAAATTCGATTCCTTTCGCCGTGATTTTCTTGAGTATTATTTTTACTTCGAATCTGTTCTTTAGCCCCTGCTAGGTTGACCTTTTCGGATTGAGTTTCGAAAGTTCCTTGATGATGTTTCTCTTGTAGCTGCAGTTAGATGCTACATGTGCTAGAGCAAGGGTGGTACCAAATGCAGTGACCATTTGATGAAGGCAATGGTCCAAGGTGCCCTTGCTTCTAGAGAGGAGGAATTTTACGTGTATCGGAAAGAGAAACCATGTATCATATTATTTTGCGTGTTGCATTTTGAGTGAGTGAAATGATAACGCTACATTTCTCTATACGAGTTTGTCTATATGGACGGATCTTATAATATGGCGCTGAATCACTGTTATAATCAAAGGATCATGTAATTTGTACCATTCAAGAGAGCGAGTAAGAGAATTTCAGGGCATTGGTTGTGTGAGATGAGTTAATAGGCTAAGCCAATAAAGACCGTCATATTCAGTTTTAGTATCCTGAATTTTGTGGTAATAGAAAGATAATGAATATAATGAATTCGAGTTGTTAGCGACACAAATATGCCACTTGTCAATCAGGCGACATGCCATGTGTCACTAAGCAAAGTGGCCAAGTGTTTAACGACGATTGGTAGGAGCACCAGGTGGCGCAAAAGTTCTTGTATCAACGAACGTGCTTGATTCCTGTGCGAAAGATGGTAATAGGAGGTGGAATACCCGACTTGGATAGGTTGATAGATAGAAATTAACCGCCAGTACATATCTTTTTATGAAATCGTCGGTTGTGGGTCCCACCGTGCGCCAAGCAAAATTATCACCAAGCCAGACGACTTGAATGTCTTCCACCGTATCAATTACCTGTCTCTCTTACTGCTTGACACTTACACCCACCTAAAAGAAAAAAAAAATTTGGGTAGCTTGAAAGTATCAACTTATATAAAACGAGTTTAGTAGACATTTAGTGATTCATATATTTTTATAATTGTCAACTCGTTCTATGTCAGTTCATTATCTAATTGTAAAGTTATCTAAATGCCAATTTACGCTTTATAGTTCAATAACAAAATATTAATTTATATTTGACCTTATATTTAAATATCAAAGCAATAATCAAATCGTTCCATGCAAGTCATTCACCAACCCCACAGAATTGCCATTGCTTCACCGCCTACAATTGAGGAGCACTTTCTATGTGATCTTCCTCGCCTAACCAAACAAGTAAAAGCCTTCATAACGAAGCAACCGCATCGCACACCAATGAAGTAATTGAGTATTACGAAAGCATCCACTCCTTACCCTTTTAGGAAAGTAACTCCAAAACTCACATCCCAAAAAGACATAAAATTACCAAAAAGGGAAATCGAAAACATATAAATTGAGGCGGTGACATTCCATTTTTTTAAAAGACACCAACAATTTGGTTGGCTCTTTTCCGACAAACATGGCTGCTGCTCACCCGGGCAGGGAACGGTTTGTCACGTTCCTCGGCGGCTGGCTGGACCGCCAGCAAACGTTTCTGGACCAGCTCCTTAATCTGGTCGAATCGCCGGACTACGAAAACAAGGATGCCCGAGAGAGGATCTTAATCGAACAGGTTCTGTCCCACTACCAGCAGTACTTCGCCGAGAAAGCCAGAACGGCGGAGGAGGATGCGTTCGTCTTGTTTTCGCCGCCTTGGCTCAGCTCCTTTGAGCGGAGCTTGCTCTGGTTGGGGGGATTCAAGCCGTCAATGGTGCTGCGCATGGTGGACAGCTCGGTTGAGGACTTGACGGCTGAACAGGTGAGGGAGATGGACGCGGTGAAGGGCGAGACGAGGCGGGCGGAGCGGGATCTCTCGGAAACAATGGCGAGGATTCAGGAGAGCGTGGCGGCGCCGCCTATTCTGGCGCTGGCGAGGAGGGTGGGGAGGCCGATGGAAGGGGAGATTTCATCGCTGGATATGGCGATGGAGATGCTGAAGACGGCCATGCTGGGGGTTTTCGAGAGCGCCGATGGTCTTCGCGGGTCGACGGTGAGGAAGGTGGTGGAGGTGTTGAGTCCGGAGCAGACTGTGAAGGTTTTGGCGGCGGTGGCGCAGTTTCAATTGAGGATTAGAAGGTGGGGGTTGCAGAGGGACACGCAGCTGAGCTAATGTCGAGGGACCTACATGAAACGGGAAAGGAAGCCATGTAAGTTGCTCCATGTTATCGTTTTATTTTTGTTTTTGGCGCTTCAGTTGAATAATTTACAAGTTTGTTTTTCTATTTACTCAAATAGTTTACAAATTTGTAATGAGTCGTAGTGCGCGTGATCGCCAGACTCGTGTTGAGAAGCTAATTAAATATTAAAAGCATCTTTAATTATGTTTTTAATATTTTTAATTCAGTTTTAGTTAATAAGATAAAAAAAAAAAAATTAGTTTTGGAGCTCTTTAAAAATTTCTACTTCAATCATACTTTCCAGTTTAGGGAGATATAACGATAGTTGACGGAAAGGGTGGATCCCTTTCACAAAATTTGTCAAATCCATCAATCCGGATCCTTGAAATCTGATCCAACGGTTAAAAATAGGGGTACCTTCAAAAGTTATAATAACTTTAACCGTTGAATCAAATTTCAAAGTTCAGAATTGATGAATTTGATGGAAGGAATCTGGAGAGACCCATTTCCATTGTTGACCAATAATAAAGGAGCTCTTATTTAAAATATTAGTAATTAATGTTGGGAATTACTTTCTCATTTTCTAGATTTAGGAGCTTTCAGGAGAATTCATATCCTAGATGGTGGATAGAAGTGTGACAAAATAGAAGGTGGATAGGAATTGTGGCAAAATCTAGCACGAGTTGATTTAGAAAGTTTATTGGAGATGCTCTAAGCTATTGTAATTGGCATGTTATACTGTCAAAGTGTTGAATTGAATTCATTCCTACACATGGTAAGATTGCATATCTAAAATTATGAGCAACGACCTAAAAGATAGACGGATGGATTATTGAAATATATTGTAAAGTGAGTCATGAAAAATGTATTAAAACGTGTCTCTATTATATATTGGGAGACATTTTTTGACACAATTTAGATACACTTCTTAGGGCATACTCTATAATGTGTTCCTTCCAATCATTTATCCTTTAAGTTTCTCTCAAAATCATCTCTACAAAAATCACTGACATCCAAAACTGTATGATCATTGGATGATATTCATGGCATTCATTACGATATGCTCTCGAGTTGTTAATGAAATGCTTTGATTATAATAATTTGTGTTGGGGAGGTGTAATTTAGTTTTCTTTGGCTCTTGTTTTGTTGAATTTGTTGAGTGCAAGTTGTGATAGCTGACACATAAAACTAATGATCGTTCGCTTTTCCTCTTAAATTTGACACCGGAAGTGTTTGTTCTAACACGACTCAGGTAAATTCCTTTCGCTATCTGCGATTTTCTTTCGAGAAGTTTAACTTAGCTCTAGTGTTTACATTTGCTTAATCTCAGTTGTTCTTGGTATCAAACTGAAGTAAAGCTTGGATCTTTTCGGGATTTAGATGAACGGGTCAAGAAACTCAAATATAAATGCAGAGTTTAAAATTCAGAACTTATTTTTTGGTTTGAAATCCAGATTTCATTTCAGTTAGCTCATTTGTTAATATAGTTCGATCGATCGATCTTGTTTAGTTGAATTCGTTAAAGGCAAATTGTGATAACATTGCATGTATAATCTTTCCCACATGTATAACTGATGATATAAATTGACGCAGGAAGTGCTCCCTCTAACATGATTCAGTCACTCAGTTAAATTGCTTTAGCTTTCTGCTAACTTCTATCAGTGTTTACATTTGGTTAATCTCGGTTGTTCTAAGTTAACGACTAGGGTTATTCAATCTTTCGGGGTCACCACATGGAGAAGTTCGATTGGGTTGATGGGCTCAGTTATATCGTCGACTGAATATTGCAAAGGTTGTTTAGCTAATCTTATAATTTGTTTATGGTAACGAAGAATAATTAACCGGACGGGTATCTTTGAGAACTTAGTTATAAAAGTTCAAGTTGAAATATTATGTACTTATTACCCTTTGATCTAATCTTATAATTCAGTTCGAAGTGATCTTCTTTAGTTTGTATCTGGTTTTTTATATCCTCTGCTTCGCCTTGTTCCTATTGAATTTCAACGTTTAAGTTCTTTGATTATGTTCTTCATGTTGGTGCAATTAGATATATATGTATAGAGCATGGGTGACTCAAAAGGTTAGATGGCCAAAATCCACGTACATCACGATAAATCAGTGAGTTTGACTCGTAACGTCATTCTCTTCTAAAAAAAGTACCGTAGTCCTAAATCGGAGCTCGGACGCTAAA